GAAGTCACCTCAGACTTCTTCGCCAGAGGGAACACTGTGGTGTAGCGGGAGAAGTCGTCAACTACCACCAGAAAGTAACGCTCACGCTCAGGGCCTAGACGAGGGGCTGGGCCCCAGACGTCCAAGTGAAGCGTCTCAAAAGGCTCGGTGGCCGGACGAAGGGAGGAGGAGTGAGGGGTGGCGCGCAGCCTACCCTCGACGCAGGGACGACACGGCGGCGCAGGCGAAGGCGGCAGCGCCGGCAAGACACGTGGGAGGCCTAGGACAAGACGCTGACTAGACATAGCGCGCAGACGTGGAAGGGACGGGTGCCCCATCCGGTGGTGCCACAGAACGGTGGGGTGGGCAAGCGACCGGCAGGAGCACGACGCAGCGACTGGAACAGACGTAGGAACCTGACACGACACAGACACCTGGGGGGACGTAGCAACCTGGTGAGACGCGGGGACCCGAACGGGGGGGGGGAACCGGGGGCAGTGGCAGTAGGGGGGGCTGCTGGTGCGGCCGCTGGTGCTGCTGCTGCTGCTGCTGCTGCTGCTGCTGCTGCGGCTGCTGCTGCTGCTGCGGCTGCTGCTGCGGCGCACGCGGGCCAGTGTGAAGAGTGTAGAGACCCGAGCCCGGCTCAGCAGTAAAGGTAGCAAGAGGCTGGTAAGAGTCTCCGTCAACACACACCGCAGTCTCTCCAGAAGGCTCAAACCACACACCCACGTGCTGACTCACGAGGGGTCGCACGCCCACCAAGTTCCGAGAGAACGAGGGGACGTGAAACCCAGTGAGAGACCCGGAGGGAGCAGCAGGACACGGTAAAGTGGTAGTGTGACGTGCAGTGACTGGTCCCGTAGTGGGATCAGCCAACGCTACAGAAACAGGCGCAGGAAGTGGTGTAAGTGTCGTGCTGTCCCGAAAGAAGCAGTGGGAGGCTCCAGAGTCCAGTGTGAACGACAGCGAAGCGTCGTCTGAGGTAGTCGCTGGTCTAGACTCTACACAAGTACCTACACTAGCAACAGGCAACTGAGCAAGACTAGCACCTAAGCTAACAACACCAGAGTAAACAGAGTCAGAAACACTAGAGTCAACAACAGCATACATAGCATGAGGAGCACTAATCAGATCAACTAACTGCTCAGCAGACATGCCCCACAGAGCGGAGCCGTGGCGCTGAACCAGAGGAAGCCAGTCAGGAGCAGGACCGCCAACCCCGTAGGTCAACCGGACCGTGTCAGTGAGCTGAGCAAAGCACTGACCAGGGGGGTGAAAGCGGCCACAAGGGTGGCCCCGACGAGGACCTGTCTGAACCTGGTAGGGGCAGGGAGGGTAAGCAGCACCGCGCTGGGGCTGACGCAGCCCCGACCCCGGAGCCAGCTGCTGACGCTGCTGCTGCTGCTGAGGCTGCTGGGAGGAAAGGGGCTGCTGCTGCTGCTGAAGGTGCTGCTGACGCTGAGCCTGGTACCACGCCGCTGCTCCACCTAGCGGGGCCGGCAGTACAGGAGGCGACTGACGAGCTCGAGGGTCGCCGCCACCAGCAGGTGCAGTGGAGTCACCAGCCGCTGCACGAGGGGTCTCTCCAGACGCTGCACTCCCACCACCGCCAGTCGCAACAGCACCCCCACTACCTCCGCTACCTCCACCTCCACCTCCACCGGAACCACCTTTCTTGCCCCCCCTGCCGCGGGACCGCGACGCAGTCGTAACAGCAGCCGCAGTCGCGTCAGTAGCGGCAGTGGCAAGAGAGGCAGTGAAGGTGGGTAACTGCGGGACTGTGCACCCGTGGAAGAGTGGGGGGGACACAGTACCAGAGGCGGCAGCTACCGAACGAAGGTTGCTCTCGACGTCCTTGAGTGCAGACTCAAGGACCTCGATAGTCAGCTCACTAGGGTGCTTCAGCAGAAGCGCGTCACGAACGGAGGCAAGGCGGTCAGGGAGGCTAGTGGCGATGAAATAGACAGTAATCGCCATGGGGGGAGGAAGCAGTGCAAGCTGTGCCTCAGTGCAAGCAGCGCGGTAACTAGCGTCGAGCGAGCGGAGGTGAGCGATCAAGTCAGCAGAGCGCTCAAACGAGGCAAGATCAGGAAACAGGAACGGGAGGAAAAGACGGCCGAGAGAGACAGTAGCGGGAGTAGAGTAGCGGGCCTTAATCGCAGTGAGGTACGCAGCAGCGGTGCGAACCTGAGTAAAGTGGACCTCCTCGGACTCAGGGACGAGGCTGCTGAGTGCGATGCAGGCCGCAGCGTCACGCGACGTCCAAGCCGTCCGGTCAGCGCGCTGACGGGCAAAGCGAGCCGTAGCAGCGTCGTCAGGAGCAGGGCCTAAAGCGGTAGGCTCGGGGGGCTCGGGGAGGTCACCAGTAGCGTGTGACCAGAGGGTCTCGCCCCCCTGGACCTGACTCTCTAACAGACGGCGAGCGCGAAGAAGCCAGACGGAAAAGTCAAGGGGTCTACCGTCAGCGTCGAAACGAAGAACTCGCGGAGTCGCCATAGTGACAACCAACGCGAACGAACAGGCGAGTAATAACCGGGGGGGAAGAGGACTCAGTCGCAGCGGAAGAGCGGGCTAGGGCGACGGGCCAAAACGTAGGGTAGGGCAACGGGCCAGGGCCTAGGGTAGGGCGACGGGCCAGAGCCTAGGGAGGGCGACGGGCCAGGGCCTAGGGAGGGCGACGGGCTAGGGCCTAGGGAGGGCGACGCGACGGGGGAAAGGGCGGGAGCGACGCGACGGGGAGGGCGACGCGACTGGACAGGGCGACGCGACGGGGCAGGGCGGCGCGACGGAGCAGGGCGACGGGACAGGGCAGGGCGACGCGACGGGGCAGGGCGGCGCGACGGAGCAGGGCGACGGGACAGGGCAGGGCGACGCGACGGGGTAGGGCGACGCGACGGGACAGGGCGACGGGACGGGACGGGACGGGACAGGGCGACGCGACGGGACGGGACAGGGCGACGCGACGGGACAGGGCGACGCGACGGGACGGGACAGGGCGACGCGACGGGGGGAACGGGCGCGACGCGACGGGGGAGATGATGCTAGGCTCGGAACTAGGCGCGGTAACAACTAAACTGGTACGAACGAGAGGTAGGATCAGGCTCGGGAGGTACGTACGGAGAACGGAGGAACGGGATCCCACAGGATCCTAACCTAGCTGATACCATGTCAGAATGAGGAATGGATGTTGCATTGATGTTGGTTGGGGTACGGTACATATGACAAACCCTAACTTTTGTACCCCCTAAGACAAACCTCACTACAGGCTACAACATTTGACAAAAACATGCGTCTAACTTAGTTTATTACTATCACCTAACTTAGTAAGGAGAACAACTTCTGACCTTTGAGTGGTGGGTGGAGCTTGGGAACGGGAGCAAACCAAGAGAAACGAAGAGAAGAACTGGGCTCCTCTAGCGTGAGGAAGAGAGAAAAGGGGGACTGAACAAACCCTAACGGTTGCAGATTCGTCGCAAAACTTGATTTAAAATAACTATGAACAAAATAATAGAACGGTGTTTCTAGCGCAGTCGGTTGAAGATAAGTGCGGGATTGAGGTTATAGGTTCGATTCGTCGCGCTTGTTTTCGTCCATGCAGACGCATTTAAAAATAGAGTACCAAACCGTTACAAGATTAATACTATGTATAATATTGTATGGTGTGTAATATTGCAAAAAGCTTCGCAACCCTAGTCGCCTCTTGTTTTCCTTGCCCGCGCTGAGCTTGCCAAAGCTGGCAGTCGAATGAACCTTTCACTGTCACCCGAATCAGGCTAGCGAATCCCGGTCCACTTGGCAGCGCAGACTGTCGCCTGCCAGGGCCCCAGTGACGTGCCAAAGACGTGACCTGACGTCTTGAGGGACACAGCTGTCACATCTTACAATCTATCCCGTTTTCCTTTCGTAAACCAGCTTCTATCAGAGACCGAGGAACTCACTTCGTGGTTACGTCAGCCTGAACCAAGATTGAAGGAATAATGTGAAATGTGTAAAGCCACATGTATGCCCCTCCGCTCTCGGTGCCATACACTATCTCGGTCTCACTACCGTGTTCTTATCATTACTTTAGTCTCTGTACCTTCATCTTCTCGGTACCTGTAGACCGTTGGTTCGACCGAAGCATGGTACGCTTCTTCCTCCCGCCTCTGGATCACGAGGACGGCGACAGCGACGACGACGCTGCCGCTCTGATGAATGACGGTGCGGCGGAGAATAATGACGGAACGGCGGAGACGGTTGGATTTCAGAAAGTCGTTAACGTTAGCGTCAACGGTAACGTTAACGACCGCAATGGCCGCGAAGCCGCAGACGATTCCCAAGCTGGTCGACCAGGCCACGATTCGGATAGCGTCAGTCACACGCAACCAGTCCGTTCCACGTCAGGCTCTTATCCCGTTGACGCAGCACGTTTCCCTGACGACGTATCGCGTGGCGGTGCGTCTCAGCCGTACGTTCGAGGTTCTTCTGCTTCAACGGGAAAAGAGATGCCTGCTGTGGGGGAAGAGAGCCCCGTTGGGGAGACAGATAGGGGGGTTGGCGGAGCAGGTGGCGGAGAGGGTTGGGTACGAGGGGGGGAAGTGGTGGCTGAGGGACGAACTGCAGGTGCGGGTGAGGAGGCTGGGGAGGAGAGGGCAGTAGGGAGCGAGGAAGGGAGGGCAGAGGGTGGCTCGTATGGAGCACAGATTGCAGTGGAGTGCGCTCGAGCTGACGTTACTCGAGCTGGTGGCTGTGCCCGACCTGAGGGAGCGGCGAAGAATTTAGGGGACGCAAAGCCAACAGACTTGTCCGTACGTGTGACATGGGCAGAAGAAGCAGCAGAAGCAGCAGCAGCAGAAGAAGCAGAAGAAGCAGGAGCATTGGGTCCCAGGCACAGATTCACGGCAAGGCCCTCTGAATCTGGCCTGCGTGCTAGAGGGTTCCAGGGTTGGAAGAGATGCAGCCGAGGCTTGGGCTTGGTGCGGTGTGGCAGAGCAGTGGGGAGCACGAAGGAGAGAATTTTAACGGTCGGGGTAGTGACAGGGATGATCAGCCAAGCCAAGCCAGCAGGAGCGGGTGGTGGTAGTCATAGGACAGGGACGGAGGGCGTGGAAAAGGGGGAGAGGGATAACGGTTGGGGTGTTGGCAATGCCGGTGACTGTGCTACTGACGCTTCTGGGTGTGCTGGTGAAGGTACTTTGCCTTCTTGCTCGAGTCAGAAGGTGCGTGCAGATCATGATAGTGGGTGTGGCCGATGGCTTGGTGCATCTCGAGATGAAATGGACCAGGGGAATGACTCATGCTTCAAAGATGACACGGGATGCTTTAAAGACGACAGGTGCGTCACAAGAGACGATGGCGGATGCGAACTGGACGACGACACGTGGTCTGGCGGGCGGAGGAGCCGTGGGAGAGCCTCAGCTTGTGCTGACTTGGCGGTGGGTGAGTCAGCAGCAGATCAGCTGTGGGCGGCAGTGGAGGAGCTTCTGGAGTGCCCTGTCTGCTGCATGGAGCTGTCTGCTCCCATCTACCAGGTACCTCCTGTGACGATGTGTCCTGTGTGACAGAATAGATCTTGTGATTTGTCATGTCATGTGCCACGATGTAGGCTGTATGGTTCTTGGTGCCACATACTCTAGTGCTGCTGGTCTGCAACAGTCAGAGCACAAAGTGGGATTCGACTGTAACTGCGAACGTCGACTCCCTCTCCCTTTATTGCCATATGGTCAATCTTGGTGTACCTTACCCGCTCGTCTGCCGCTCTGTCATGTATCTCCTCCGCATTTTTTTCACCCCTCTTCGTAGCTCATTCTCCCTGTGACCCCTTTGTGAATTCCCATTCCCCCACGCCAGTGTCACAGGGGCCATGTCATTTGCTCCGCATGCATCAGCCACCTGGCGCACCATTCCTGTGCGCCTTCCGAGCCGGCAAATACTGCTGTGGCCATTCATCTTCACGCCAACTCCACGCATGCTGCTGCTACTGCTGCTGCTGCTGCTGATTCTTCCACTGCAGCTGCTGCTGGGTCTATTGCTGGGGTTGCTGCTCGTGCCAGTGCCATGCCCTCACATGCAGCAGTATGTTGCCCCATGTGCCGGGACCCCATGGCCGTTCCACCCTCAGCATCAGATTGCCATGCAGGGGTGGAGGCTGCAGCAGACTGGGTGGCCGGGACAGCAACAGGCTTGGTCACAGGTGCAGCAGCAGCGGCACCACTGGCTGCTGCGTCACTAGGAGGGGCTGTGTCGCTGTTACATGCGACAAACTCTCCTCTCTTAGCACCGGGACGTGTTACTATTCGAGGCATTACTCCTCACAGCAATTTGTTTGGCTCGAGGGTTGGTGTAGATGGGGCGTGGAGGGACGGACACAGCAACAATAGGGTTGGTGGAACAGGTGGGTCAGCTGCAGGAGCTAATGTTCAAACCCAGTCATCGTGCCTTATCAGGAATCTTGCTCTTGAGCAACTCGCTTCTACTGTGGCAGCTTTGCGCACTCCACCTGCTCGCCATGCTTCACATATACTCCATGAATAAGGGCTACTTGTGTACATAACATGCTTGCCGGAGTGTAAGGCATACCTATTACAGCAAGGTCAAGCTCCTGAACTGTATCTATGTACGTGTGAGCACCTTAAAAAGTCGAATGAGTAAGCACATGGCATACCGGTATGGTTGGTTGTCTACCAAGTGGTGAAGCATACCGGTAGTTGTCAACATCTATGCTACCGTATCTATGGAGTCACAATGTGACACGGATTGTATCGTTCTAGTGTTTTGGTGGTGGTAAGCTATGGTGCCATGCCATTCGTCCTACATGGACTGAAGGGCGTACTTTTCGCCCCATTGAACCTCCAGACTTGAGACTATTTGGGGGAAAGCCTTCGACAATGGTTGCGTCAGCAAGAGATATTGACCTCAATGTGGCTACTCGGGCACTGTTTGGGTTCTTAGCATACTCGGCTGGGTCTTTGACGGCTGTGGTAGGGCTGGGGTGTGGGGAGGCACTGGGTGGGTGTGCCATACTTGGCAAACATGCGACTGTAGTCATTTTCAGGAGATGGATTTTTGGTACTTGGCTAGGGATGGTTAGCAGCAATTTAAGAATAGGGTGAACTAGCGATTGTTCTTTCCTGTGATTCTATGCATTTGTGTTGTACTGAGGATTTGCTAGCCTATAATGTTGAGCTGGTACATGCCATAAACTGATTAATCTTTCTCTCTTTTGGACAATATTGATGGTACGTATAACCTGTCAGACGATTTACAGACCAATATCCAATCCGTGACACTTATATCTGATTAGGATAATGCAAGCGTCAAAATCGAGGTCGGCTCCTTGACAGGAATATTTCTGCCGCAAACAATGGGAACACACGCATGCTGTTCGGCATTTTCATACGTGGACACTGCGCGGCAATCTATCCGCCAATGAAAAGCCACAGGAAGACGTGTCAGCATCCAGCTCAGACGTGGAATCCCAAGGTATCTGGGCCAGCCAAGAACCTACTCAGAGGTGAATGGAGAAATGTGTCCGCCCCACAATCAGGTGTGGTCCCCAGAAGTCCTTGCGCGGATCACTTGAAGGCTGAAGGATGTTCATGTTCAGGGATCTCCAGTCTAGACCAGAAGTCAGCTAAAATATAAATTTCAGCCATTGTTGGATTGGCTTTTCTGACTTTGGTCTCCAGTTTTGTCGCCGAGGCAGACACGCTACTTGTGCAGAAGCTAGTAACCATGGAGGGCGCTGCTGCTGTCTTGACGGAGGTCTCTAAACATGCTCAGGGAGCCCTTCCTGATACTTTTTTGAATGTCTTTATTCCGGCAACTGCAGTTGTTGGCATTCTCTTCGCTATTTTCCAATGGTTCATGGTCTCTCGTATCCGTGTCGGCGGTGCTCCGGATGGTCAGTACGGACTATTGGAAGATGGGACAGCAGACACTGTACTCCAGCAGGTTTCTGAAATCCAGTCCGCGATTTCCATGGGTACGTGAATATGACACATGGCATTTATCTTGACCAGGATCATTGCGCTTTTAACCTGAACTTCGACATTCTGATTTTCTGCTCACCGCAGGCGCTGAGTCGTTCCTGACCACGGAGTACAAGTACTTGGCTGTGTTCATGAGCGGCTTTTCCGTGATCATCTTTCTATTCCTTGGATCCGTCGACAACTTCGACAAGCAGGGTATCGCAAACGCTGGTTTCAGCACCTTGGCCTTTATCCTTGGAGCTCTGACCTCGACGGGTTCCGGATACCTCGGCATGAAGATTGCTACTTGTACGTAGTTTCTTATTGAGCAGTTTTCCCTGACAGCGATGTTTTCATCAGCTTGTCAACGAGGAGTGCTTGTGCATTTTTTCTCGTTGCAGATGCTAACGCGAGGACCACCTTGGAAGCCAGGAAGGGAATTCCGGCGGCATTTGTGGCTGCTTTCCGCGCTGGATCGGTCATGGGTTTCCTCCTGTCGGCGAATGGACTGCTGGTGTTGTTCCTGACCATTCTCGCGTACAGGAAGTACTACGGCGATGACTGGGCTGGGCTGTACGAATCCATCACAGGGTACGGTCTTGGTGGTTCTTCTGTCGCCCTGTTTGGTCGTGTTGGTGGTGGTATTTACACCAAGGCTGCTGATGTTGGTGCGGATCTTGTGGGCAAGGTTGAGAGGAACATTCCCGAGGACGATCCCAGGAACCCTGCTGTAAGTGCTGCGATTTACTTTCTTTATGGCGTTGAATTTGAGAGCTTCTGATTAATAGAAATCTAATTTTCTTGTGTTCAGGTGATCGCCGACAACGTGGGAGACAATGTGGGTGACATTGCTGGCATGGGCTCTGACCTGTTCGGCTCCTTCGCCGAGTCCACCTGCGCAGCCCTTGTGATCTCGGCCCTGTCTCAGCCTGGAAAGGACCATGATTTCTCCGCCATGTGCTTCCCGCTTCTGGTCAGCGGTGCTGGTATTCTTGTGTGCCTGATCACCACCATTATCGCCACCGATATTCAGCAAGTGAAGGAGAAGGCTGAGATTGAGCCCGCATTGAAGAAGCAGCTGGTCATCTCCACCGTGCTGATGACACCCGTGATCTTCCTCGTCGCGTTCTACGCTCTTCCGCCTACCTTCAAGATCACTGTTGTCGGTCAGGGCGACAAGGTTGTTCAGAACTGGTAAGTTCGACTCCGAAGTACTTTTGATTGCACTTGTGACGACATAATATGTTAAGCTGCTTCCTTGTCTTGCAGGTACGCATCTGCGTGCGTCTCATCCGGACTTTGGGCTGGTCTTCTCATCGGCTTTGTCACCGAGTATTTCACGAGCAATGCCTACGTGTAAGTGGATGGTATGGTGATTGTTTTCCTCGTCACTTTTCTTTGCTCTTCAATCTGTCAAAGAATTAAGTGATAATTTCAAAGAACGAACGAATTACTAATTCAGAACCTTGTTCGAACTCCAGGCCCGTTCAAGACGTCGCTGACTCTTGCCGTACTGGTGCGGCCACCAACATCATTTTTGGCCTTGCCCTTGGCTATAAGTCGGTTATCATTCCGGTGTTCGCTATTGCCGCTGCGATCTACGTGAGCTTCCAGTTCGCTGGCATGTACGGCATTGCCCTGGCTGCTCTTGGCATGCTGAGCACTCTTGCAACTGGTCTGGCCATCGATGCGTATGGGCCAATTAGTGACAATGCTGGTGGTATTGCCGAGATGGCGGGTATGGGTGAGGAGATCCGTGAGCGCACCGATGCTCTTGATGCTGCTGGAAACACCACTGCTGCCATTGGCAAGGTCAGTTCTTTCTTCGTCCTTAGTAGGATTACTTTTTTCTTTTGGTGTCATTCTGAAGTTGCGCTTTTATTGCTCGCTTGCAGGGCTTCGCCATTGGTTCTGCTGCACTGGTGTCCCTCGCTCTGTTCGGAGCTTATGTGAGCCGGGCAAAGGTTAACGTTGTCAACGTGACTGAGCCCCAGGTATACCTATTTTCAAATCACTTACTATAAAGCACTTGCAGGCAGTTGTGGCGAACGGAGTTTTTACATGCATCTCTTTTGGATGCAGGCCTTCGTGGGGCTCCTTGTTGGTGCTATGTTGCCCTACTGGTTCTCTGCCATGACCATGAAGAGTGTGGGCAAGGCTGCCCTTGCAATGGTGGAGGAGGTTCGTCGCCAGTTCAACACCATGCCCGGCCTGATGGAGGGAACCACGAAGCCAGACTACAAAAAGTGTGTGGAGATTTCGACTGCTGCTTCTCTGCGTGAGATGATCCCTCCTGGCGCACTTGTGATGCTGAGCCCTGTGATTGCGGGAACTCTGTTTGGAACCACCACTCTGGCTGGTATGCTGGCGGGTGCGCTGGTGTCTGGCGTCCAGATTGCCATTTCCGCGTCCAACACTGGTGGTGCATGGGACAATGCCAAGAAGTACATTGAGGCTGGCAACTCTGCTCATGCCAAGAGCCTTGGCCCCAAGGGCTCTGATCCCCACAAGGCTGCAGTTATTGGCGACACTGTTGGTGATCCCCTGAAGGACACATCAGGCCCGTCCCTGAACATTCTGATCAAGCTGATGGCTGTGGAGTCTCTTGTGTTTGCTCCCTTCTTTGCCACTCACGGTGGCATCATCTGGGGTGGCAAGTAGATTGTTGGAATCTTTAGCTCTATGTTTGGAGTTGGAATGTTAAGGATCATCAATAATGACCTTTTTCTATGCAAGTCGCATCTAGCTGACCCACACTCTAGCCTTTTTCTAGGAGAGTTAATACGTAGAAACGTATGTGGAATTTTCAGAACCTTCTAGTACCTATCAGACATGCGTACTTCACTCTTTCTTTGAAAGGACTAGTAAGTCCCTAAACTTGGGAGCATGACTGTAAAGTGACTTGTCTAGCCTCACCTCTCATTTCAATAATAAAATGTATAAGTCGACCCCCTCAAATGAGAAATCTTTCTGCAACTCATCCTTTTCTACTTTCCTTACGATCACAAATGTGGAAGGTAGCAAGCTCCAGAACTTATCATGAGCTTCCTGTTGTCGTAGTCTATAACCAAGCACCAGCGTAGTTTTCTTGTCACTTACTGCCGCCATTGTTGAAATCAACCTCTCAACATCTTCCTCTATGTACACCACGTCAGTCACAATGACGAAGTCGAAGGGAGGCTTGACTGAACAAATATGCTTGTCATTGCCCCAGTAGAGTTGCACAGGCTTGAGTTTCCCTGGTGCTGAGAATGATGCTTTGTAAGCCTCAGATAGAGAGTTAAGATTCCTCTTCAAATTCCGTTTCAAAATAGGGAGCACTGGTTGTATGTCTGTCGCAGTGACATCACAGCCAAGCAAAGCCATAGCCATTCCTGCCAATGCATGTGAAATAATGAGAAGGGAAAGCACCTTAACTGCATTATTCGAAGTAGGCGAGACAACCAAACATCTAGTGTGGGTAAGACTTAAAGAACCGTGAGGCGCGACGGGCTTACCAGCTATGCCGCATCCCGCTCCAAGCTCGACCGCACGTTTTCCAGCGACCTTGCAGCCTGAGAGCTCGCATTCATCGTTTTTGAAATTCTTCTCTAACCATTTCGCGAACACTAGTGACGCCTCCCATACGCTCGTCCCCACGTGCATAGATTCGTTATCCTGCAGTATACTCAGAGGCTGACCCCACAACTGCAAATCCACAGTTCTCTCTGCCGAAAACCACATGAGTCTAGGTAGTGACAGGAGGCGAAGCTGGAAAGGAGAAGCACAGCTACTGACCTGCACGAATCTGTTGCCGATGATTGCGGTAAAACTTCGTGGGACAGGAGATTGTGTGTAATGATGCGGGCGTAGGAAGTCTAGGAGGGAAAGGATTCAGGGGAGAGCACAAATTGGTTGGATGGGCGTTGCAAATTTTCACAGGAAACCTGGAACTTGTGATTCAACTCGTGTCCCTATTGTCGAATACACCATTGCCCTCGATTGTATCACTGATTGCAGAAAAACTGCTCACCAATCCAGTCGAAGCCTCCAAGTGCACTTTCATATGTGTACATCGAGCGGCTATCAGTTCCCAATAGCGAGTAGAGATTTCACGTGTCGCAGCCAGATCAGATGCACAGCGCAGCTCCGCTCCAGTTTCCCGCTGGCGAATTTCATGAATTCTGATCTGAAATCCATTTTCCTTCTCCCAGAGATTCCCGTAAAAGCCCCAATTTCTTGTTGATGGTCAGATAACCAGTTAGCAGGAGCAGCTTCGCAGCTCCAGGTCCAGCCGATTACAGACTCATTTTGACTCTTGAGCTTGCCAGCCATGGCTGATGCTGTGACACTCGTCACGGAGGTCTCCAAGCATGCTCAAGGGGCACTTCCTGATCTCTTCCTGAATGTCTTTATTCCAACAACTGCAGTTGTTGGCATTCTCTTCGCTATCTTCCAATGGTTTATGGTCTCTCGCATCCGCATTGGAGGTGCTCCCGACGGCCAGTACGGTCTTCTGGAAGATGGGACAGCAGACACTGTCATCCAGCAGGTTGCTGATATTCAGTCCGCCATTTCCATGGGTACGTGAAACAGCATTACGTTTTTTTCTGGAACTTCTTAGGTTACCTTGACCACCATGTCAGGTACATTTACCAGAAGCGTTCAATGTGCACCTGGCATGACAAGTTCTCTTGTCATTTTACAGGTGCGGAATCGTTCCTGACCACGGAGTACAAGTATCTGGCCGTCTTCATGAGCGGCTTTTCCGTGATCATCTTTCTCTTCCTTGGATCCGTCGACAACTTTGATAAGCAGGGCATTGCCAATGCTGGTTTCAGCACTCTGGCATTCGTCCTCGGGGCGCTGACATCGACGGGTTCGGGATACCTCGGCATGAAGATTGCTACATGTAAGCACCACATATTTTGCTGTTTTCCCCGTAATAGATATCCGTCGATCAGCTCGGTCACTATCTTTACCTATTTTAACTCCAACATTTCTTCGCTGATGGTGCAGATGCCAACGCGAGGACCACCATGGAAGCTAGAAAGGGAATTCCTGCAGCATTCGTCGCTGCTTTCCGCGCTGGATCGGTCATGGGTTTCCTCCTGTCGGCAAACGGGCTGCTGGTGTTGTTCCTGACCATCCTCGCGTACAGGAAGTACTACGGCGATGACTGGGCCGGCCTGTACGAGTCCATCACAGGTTACGGCCTTGGTGGTTCCTCTGTGGCCCTGTTTGGTCGTGTTGGTGGTGGTATTTACACCAAGGCTGCCGATGTTGGTGCGGATCTTGTGGGCAAGGTTGAGAGGAACATTCCTGAGGACGATCCCAGGAACCCTGCTGTAAGTATTGCTATCAAGTGGCTTTCTAGCGTTTAATTTGAAACCCTCTGAACAATGCTGATTCATCTTTCATCTGTACAGGTGATCGCTGACAACGTGGGAGACAATGTGGGTGACATTGCTGGCATGGGTTCTGACCTGTTCGGCTCCTTTGCCGAGTCCACCTGCGCAGCCCTTGTGATCTCGGCCCTGTCTCAGCCTGGGAAGGATCATGATTTCTCCGCCATGTGCTTCCCTCTTCTGGTCAGCGGTGCCGGTATTCTTGTGTGCCTGATCACCACCATCATCGCCACCGATATTCAGCAAGTGAAGGAGAAGGCTGAGATTGAGCCCGCATTGAAGAAGCAGCTGGTCATCTCCACCGTGCTGATGACTCCCGTGATCTTCCTAGTCGCGTTCTACGCTCTTCCGCCTACCTTCAAGATCACTGTTGTCGGCCAGGGCGACAAGGTTGTTCAGAATTGGTGAGTCCGTCTCCGGAATTTGTTGCGCTTGCACTTCTGAATGGTATCACCGGCATTGCGCTAAACATTTCACCTGATCTTGTAGGTACGCATTCGCGTGCGTCGCATCTGGACTTTGGGCTGGGCTCCTTATCGGTTTCGTCACCGAGTACTTCACGAGCAATGCCTATGTGTAAGTGGATGGTTTTGTGATTGTTTCCCTCTCCCTTTCCTAGCAACCCCTCGAAGAAGACTACATCAAGAGATTGAATGGAAGCAAAAAACGAATTACTAATTCAGAACCTTGTTTGAACTCCAGGCCCGTTCAAGACGTTGCTGACTCTTGCCGTACTGGTGCGGCCACCAACATCATTTTTGGCCTTGCCCTTGGCTATAAGTCGGTTATCATTCCGGTGTTCGCTATTGCCGCTGCGATCTACGTGAGCTTCCAGTTCGCTGGCATGTACGGCATTGCCCTGGCTGCTCTTGGCATGCTGAGCACTCTTGCAACTGGTCTGGCCATTGATGCGTATGGGCCAATCAGTGACAATGCTGGTGGCATTGCTGAGATGGCGGGTATGGGTGAGGAGATCCGTGAGCGCACCGATGCTCTTGATGCTGCTGGAAACACCACTGCTGCTATTGGCAAGGTCAGTTCTTTGTTTTACGTTGTGTGAATATTTTCCATTTTCCTTTGCGTGTCTTTGAAGTTGCGCTTTTGTTAATTGCTTACAGGGCTTCGCCATCGGTTCTGCTGCACTGGTGTCCCTCGCTCTGTTCGGAGCTTATGTGAGCCGGGCCAAGGTTAACGTTGTCAATGTGACTGAGCCCCAGGTATGCTTTTTCAAATCACTGCAGCACTGTGAAGCACTTTCAGCCTGTAGTGTGGTGACTTAATCTTTACATGCATCTCTTCTGGATGCAGGCCTTCGTGGGGCTCCTTGTTGGTGCTATGCTGCCCTACTGGTTCTCTGCCATGACCATGAAGAGTGTGGGCAAGGCTGCTCTTGCAATGGTGGAGGAGGTTCGTCGCCAGTTCAACACCATGCCCGGCCTGATGGAGGGAACCACGAAGCCAGACTACAAGAAGTGCGTGGAGATTTCGACTGCTGCTTCTCTGCGTGAGATGATCCCTCCTGGCGCACTTGTGATGCTGAGCCCTGTGATTGCGGGAACTCTGTTTGGAACTACCACTCTGGCTGGTATGCTGGCGGGTGCGCTGGTGTCTGGCGTCCAGATTGCCATTTCCGCGTCCAACACTGGTGGTGCGTGGGACAACGCCAAGAAGTACATTGAGGCTGGCAACTCTGCTCATGCCAAGAGCCTTGGCCCCAAGGGCTCTGATCCCCACAAGGCTGCAGTTATTGGCGACACTGTTGGTGATCCCCTGAAGGACACATCAGGCCCGTCCCTGAACATTCTGATCAAGCTGATGGCTGTGGAGTCTCTTGTGTTTGCTCCCTTCTTTGCCACCCACGGTGGCATCATCTGGGGAGGCAAGTAGATGAGATCTGGTTCTGTGAGGAAAATGTGTATTGGGAAGAATCGTTTTCTCTTTGTGACGTCTTGATGATACGGTGTCTAGGGTAGTAGAATGTAGTGGCATATGGTGTAGTGTCATGATTCCATGGCATGTGTGGCTGTATTGGACATGTGTTAGTTGGTTTACATGCAAGACAGAGTTTGGAACAGGAAGTGGAGGGATTCTACCGTAATTGAGCAAAATGATACACAAGTTAAGATAACGCAGTTGAAATAGGGTAACTTGCTGCACTGTCACAGCCCATCTGCACTGTCACAGCCTGTCTCATACTGCTCAACATAAAAATGATGCTGGTAAGTTAATGTTGGTCATGCCAAAACATCAGTCAAGCTGCTTGCCGCACAATACCATATGCTGGAAAACCTGTCCTAACCCCTGGTGTAGGCTTGATTTCAAGATCTGGGCATCTAGACATGAGAAATGCAAGGCAATGAAAAGATAGCGGCACACCCCACAAGTTGAGTTCTCTCAGTTGCATACATCCTGCCACCACAGCTAGAACTCCCTTGTCCGTCACTTTACGACATCCCCACAAATTCAGAATCTGTAGGATAAGGGGTGGACAAAAGGACATTTAAGCCATGTCACAAGGAGTGAAATGCAACAGATTGCTTCAAGACTCGGGGCCAGGAGAACCAACCTCCAGAGATGGGCATGAACGGGCGATGTTGAAGATTGAAGATGAGGTGACACAGGTTCCTCCCAAGTTTAGATGCTTGAGCCCCTTGCACTTCACCACCTGCATGGATGGAGGCAAGCATCAAGAACCATCCCAGTCTGCTATCATGCACACATGTATGCCTCCAGGAAAGTCGCAATGTACACCATAGATAGCAATAGCGGCAATGACTGGCCAACCAAACCTGGAGGCATTGATTGCAAGTACGTATGGCCTGATCAAACAGGCCTCGTACCCAGGAAGTACGTGAATTCCACCCCACACATGAATTTGCTGCTAGTTCCTGCGTTTGCTTGACTTAGGGTCTCTCTGGAATGGGTGCTCTACTTGCCGACATACCCCTCAGTTCATAAGCTTAAAACGGTAATGACAAGCAGTATTTTGTCAATTATGACTGGAACGAGGCACGATGAAACAAGGGGCTTACCAGTCGGCAGATGCCAGCATCAGAGACGCCCTTCACTCCCCACAGAGATAATGACTGAAGCTGGCAAACAGAAGTAGCCTTACTGGCAGCCTCGAGTGATGCATCTGACAAGCGGCAACCACATCTGCACATAAGGAACCACAGTATGTTTATCCAACTTAAGCTACAATGAGACTCTGACCACGCTCGAGCTGTTGAACGGATTAGCAGTGCACGTGGGTTGAAGTTTTTGACAGCGAATCCACGTACAGGTCGAGCTCTGTGACAACGCAAGCCATGGGAATGATCGATGGCAGTGCGGATTCCGGATTACGGCACTTAGCGAAGGTTAAGCGCTGTCGATGACCCCATAATCGCACAGCTGCATTACGCCAAGACCTCGAAACTCTGGCGGCACTGTAACGCGCGATGGGCGAGCAGAAAAAAATATATTAAAAATGACGCGAATCTCGTAACAAGGCGGTGGGAGTTGAGAAAGAATTTGCAGACTGGATGAGTATCCTAGAACTCGCCTTGCAATGTCATGATACGAGCGAAGGTGTTGGAAGCAATGAATCAGAACATCCTCGGGGAGTTCTGGCGGCTCTTTGTAATCATCGTAAAGGTCTTCCAAGGATGTTTCTGCACCATCATCGTCATCGTGTCTCTCTGACCACCATGTTGATCCATTATCTCTAGGATTTCCCCAGTCTAGCAGCCGTGCCAGAAGCAACTGCGCCATGCGTGTCGCTATACACCCAGAGATCTATACAGGTTATACAGCTGATTTATGTACACGAAAGGGAGTGAATAAACGCTACCAACGGACCATGGTACTCGTGCTGCTTTGGACCACACGCGTGGTAGGCGGGCCGACAAACGATCACGAAGCACAGGCCACGTGAGCCCACGCTAGTCTAGAATGACTTCAGTGGCAATGGTCGCTACAATTCGCTAAGCCTTGCTAAAATCAACTTCACTTCCTATACCTTACCCCACTCTTCAGCCACATTCGTGGCATTACAACGCACAACGCACACCTGATCTCTCTTCTCTTCTCCCTCGCATTCCTAAAAGCTAACACAGATCGTCCGGTGTTACTCTTCCTGGCATTCTAGTCTTCAGCTACTCTCACAAAAGTCGTCCTGGTTCCTTGCTTCTAGCTTGACCATGGTTTCGTGTCGTGTGGATTGCTGTGTAGTTCATGAGATAGTTGAAACGCTTGTGATAGATCATAGAGATCAGCTGGAAACCTGGGCAGGAAAGGCTGGCATACAACACACCGCTGGATGGAAAAAGCGCCCAGAATTGGCCAGTGTTTCTCGAGGTCGAGTCAGCAGGGAGCACGTTGATTGGTCAGTTGAGCTTCTGCCAGTAATGTCAGCCCCTCTTTCGTTCGAGGGCAGCAAAAACTTGTCCAGCGCTGCGGAGCACTCTCACGTGTCTGCAGAGCACTCTCATTCTGCCCACACCGAATTTTGCAGAAGGGAAACGCGTTTCTAGTTTTCTCGCTATCAACAAGCGTAACACTTCACAGGTACGCAAGTCAAGATTTTAAATCATACCTCATCCCCAATCCTGACTTACAATTAACTCCTGCCTTTGGCTAGGAGCACACCTCCACATTAACTCCGCGGCCGTGGTTGCCAGTTGAGAGGACATTCATAAGGTTACTTGGCATAATCTATACCGCATTTTTCGCTCACCATGGGTGGGTTGTTTGGAGATTTACCTCCGCCTTCCGATGCGGACAAGGCCGCTTCGGACGCAAATCCTTCCGCCGCTTCCGCGTCCGCATCGTCCGCGGGTCGTCCGAAGCTATGGTCCGCCAAAATGACTCCCGCTACGCTGCGCAAGCCCTCCGCTGCGACCCTCTTTGCTCCGCCAACATCAGTCCTCCGCAGTCAGTCCCTTTCGGCATCCACTGCGGCTTCCCCCTCAGCAAAATCGGCTCGTTTGCCGGCCCCGCCGCCGCCGCCAGTAAGCGGCGCAACAAGCGGGGGGACAAGTACATCCGCAATTGTTGCTGCAGCTGCCGCAGCAGCAGCTGCAGCGGCAGCAGCATCGGGACTGGGTCCCGGAGCCGGGGTAACGGAAGCGCAGGCAACCCCAATGGCAGTTGATTCCGCTTCCGCTGGCGAGGCTACTCCCCCCTTTTCCTCCGCCTACTCCGCGCAACTTCCCCCACCTCACGCCCCCGCGTATCCCCCTGATCCACGCTTCGCCGCTCATCCAGGATATCAGGCGCCTCCGCCCCCCTACAACAGCGCAGCCGCAGCATTTCCTCCTCCTGTCCCCCCCTATGGTTCCGCGCCTCCCCTTCCCCCGTATCCCCCCCCGGGCTCTGCTCCTGCGCCTCCACCTCCGCCTGCACCTGCGCCTGCTCCCCCTGTCCTGCCGCCAGGTGGCGGAGCCGCATTGGTTGCTGCAGCTGCTGCAGTAGTAGACGAATACGACCCGGCTAGACCTAATGACTACGAGAAGATACTAAGGGAGAGGAAGAGGAAGGCTGCTGAGGAGGAGAGGCGGCGGGAGATGGAGCGGAGGAGGAAGGAGGAGGAGGAGCGGGAGAAGGAACGGGAGGCCGTGCTGCAGCGGCAGAGAGACCTTGAGCTCGCGATCAAGGCTGAACGTGAGGTAGGTTCTCTCGAGATATACAGTGAGCATTGGGCGCTTACATGTGTTGGCATAGCAACTCACATGAGTCAAGGCAAGACAAACAGACATGCTCGCTCAGTTTGCGAAGCCATTCGTATGCAAGTTCATTTCTTATTTCGTCATGGCGTTTTGGCGTATTCGCGCAATTCAATCAGCACCTGAACTGATTTAATCAGCGCCCTAATTTTCACACTGACTTTTCTGTCTGCTGTCATCCGTTCCTGCAGCGTGCAGCAGCAGCCAAGGCAGCAGAGCAGGAGGGGGGGGCATCAGCATCACCAGCAGCAGCTGCAGCCTCTGCTGGCCCAGATCGCTCCCAGCTGCGTGTCAGTGGGGAGGAGGCCTGGCGCCGCAGAGCCATGCTGAGTGGAGGGGGGGCAGGAGGGGGAGCAGGAGGGGGACTAGGAGCAGCAGCTGGAGGAGCTTCGGCAAGCCCACGAGCTGCAGAAAGATCGCCATCTCCTCCCAAGTGAGACTTCTCAACCTCCTAAGCAGTAGTTGTAGCTTGTTTCTCTTTGCATGGCTGATGGCTGTGCATCAGCTAGCTAATTCTTTGATCATCCAGTCGCCAGCTTCTTGAATTGACCTGTTCCATCGTATATATCGTGACATCCTCGGCTGTAGTGTAGTCTTGCTTTACTTGGATCATCACTGAACCCGGGTCTTCTGTTGCACTTGGCAGGTCGGAGGGGTTTGCCATGCCCAAGAATTCTGGCGACGGGTTAACAGCAGCAGAGCGGATGATGATGAAGATGGGATGGAAGGCTGGGCAAGGGCTGGGTAAGCAGGAGCAGGGTATCACCACTCCTCTCATGGCAAAGAAGACGGACAAGCACGGAGGAGTGATTGTGGCTGCCAAGCCTCTGAAGAAAGGGAGTGGAGGAGAGGGAGCGGAGAATAATGCTGCTGGTGCTGGGGGAAAGAGGGCGAAGCTGGGTGGTGTGGCACTCAATGGGCCTCCATCAAAGGTTGTCCTGCTAAGAAACATGGTATGTTTGCTCCCAGATTTTATACACGGGCACCCATGTTGGAACAGATTTTATACACAAGCACCCATGTTGGAAACAAGCAATTGCGATATGTGGTTTTGGTGCTGATTATGCTGGTTTTGTGCTCAGGTTGGTCCGGGAGAGGTGGATGAAGAGCTGGAGGAGGAGGTGGCAGGTGAGTGTCTCAAATATGGCACTGTAACACGGGTGCTTATATTTGAGATTACAGATCCTTCCTGTCGACCAGTGGAAGCTGTTCGCATATTCATCACCTTTGATCGGCCGGAATCTGCAACCAAGGCACTCGTTGACCTTGATGGGAGGTTTTTCGGTGGAAGAACAGTACGGGCGTGCTTCTTTGATGAAGAAAAGTTCAAGAAGAATGACCTTGCGCCAGGTCCAAATGAGCCGCCTGTTCCCGACTTTCAGAAAGCCTAGGGTGCCATTTTTCGATACTGGTTTCTGTTCTGATCATGTTGGTTGTGTCTTTGTAATGGTTGCGCTCTATATTGCATCATTTCTTATTCCACACTGGAAGCTCTGTATAATTGGCTGTGAGAAGAAATCCACTGTTTAGTGCAAATCGACATTCGTAACTGGGAACTCTGTATAGAGTACAACTCCTCTTCGATTTGCCGATGCGCTGGGGACCCTCATGAACACCAACGGAGCTCAATTTCACTGCTTGTCATTCAACTGCACAATATGTTTCAAGCTTTCAAGCTACCTTGGACATTCGGTTGCTGCCATCCCAAAGACAAGCCAACTCCAATATCTACGAGCTGGCAGTTGTGCCGTTCCGCCATGATGACTCCCGACGAAAATGTTCTTAAGTCTGTGGAGAATAAGGAGGTGCGGAATGTAGTAGTGGGGTGATCCTATCGTTAAGTGTGGTGTACATGTGAACTTACACCTGGATGCTCTACAGCCAAGGAAATCGACAGTGAAGGATCTTGCGAAGAAGTTTGACATCAAGCCTAACTTATCGGTTCAGGGACCCAAGGTCGTCTCTAGGGATTATGACGTGAGCATCTATCTGCTGCAAGCAATCCGCCATTGCCGCTGCTCGCCTGAATACATCACGTAACTGACAGGACGCTGAGGGAAGGCTGACCAAGTCAGAATTGGAAGAACTAAAGACTCGTTTGGAAAAACTTCATCTTCTGCTCGATGGCAGCCAGCGGGATGAAGTCGGCTCAATCTTGGAGATTGTGAGCACCAAAAAAGTGCGCGGAGTCGCTTTCAATGCAACTGTGGGTAAAGCCGTACTGTTGTTTCTCAGGTTGGCAAGGCTTTGCGCCGGAGGTCCAGCGATCGCTCGGAAAACAAATGGACGGAAATCCCGCTCAAGTCAACAGACCTGCAAAACCAGGCTAGTCTTATCGGATCATGGTTTGAGGGGAGCCTCTTCGTCTTAGCTGAGCTAAAATTCTTCGTAAGTTACAGGGAGATGATGATGCGCTTTTATCACTGCTGGCATCAAAGGGGGAAGAGGTTTCGCGTCTTAAGGCAGAAGTGATGGAGCTCAAGTCTCGCATGGTCGGCGAGCGGGGGATCATGAGATACGAGATCCAAGGAAGTGAAGAGCTAGGGAGCCTTCTGTTCGTAGTTGCATTGTCTGATGACGTGGCGCACCCATCCCAGTGTAACATTCGCTGGTATCGATCCAGCAAAGATGGGAAGCATACTCAGCTAATCATAGGTAGTTCGTAGTCATCACTTACCGTCATCATACATCGCCAACCGTTCTATTCTTAATCTTTCTGATTGCCCTTACCACAAAATAAAATGCATTTGCAGGCGCGGAAGGGACTATGTATGCAACTGAGCCTGAAGACCTGGGCTGTGTCATTCAGGCAGCGATTGAATCATCATCAGCTTGTCAGGGAATTATGTTTCTGACAACGGGGGAGATCCAACCAGGTCAGATAACGTTGAGATTTTTGTCACATGAAGATTGTAGCCGCAGCTAATTTGTGTCTCTGCTTCCAGGGAGCATGTACGAGACGCTGCTGGCTCAGACGGTCCTTCTTAATGACGTCCAGTTTTCGGTATGACGTCCTTAGGTTGCACTTTGATTCGTCTATGCGGTCAATCTGCAACTAATTCTTGTGTTCAGGTCCTCATATGCAACAATGATGGGAGCACAACTGCTAATGTAGATCAGGCTCTGTTGCGAATCAACAAAGCGCGGGTGAAACTGGTCACCACCTCAAACTCGTTAATTAGGAGAGAGTCGTATAACCAAGCAATGCAGGTAAGGCACCTCTGGCTTGTCGCAACAGGTGGGCGTTTCTTATGGGGATTGAGGCGTGGCAAATGGCAGTTTTATGGGCTTCGGTGGAGCACCAATTCTTCTTCTCTTGGTGCATGCTGGGTTCCGCGCAAGGGTGTGATGTTCAACATCATGTTCCAGTCCATCACAGAGAGGAACATAGCCATTCAAGTAGCGAAGACCTACGCCAGCAAGCTGAAGGTGGGCATGAAGTTATGATGCATTGGCCAGACACTCTATAACGGTTCAGTAGGTACCACCTAACTCTTCTTGCCTTTTTCAGATTGATGTTTCTGGGCCAGAAGGCCATTTCCATGGTCATGATGAGTGATACGGTAGGACTGATGGTGCAGAACTGGGGAGGAAACACCACGGCAGTGTGAAATGTGTGGCGAAGGGGTTGGGTGGGTGGGTGTGAAGGAACGGTGGGGCACTGGTTCAGGGGGTGGTGAAGGGGTTGTTGTGAAGACTCGCACCGGGATGCAGTGGTAGGTGTTTGTGATGCTTGGATACAATGCCAGCAGAAGTAGTATGAAGCAGCAAGCTTCTTGTGTACACTGCAATGTTCTACAACATAATTATAGGTGCATATAAGTACGGGTATAATGTAAGCACAAAGCTGATGTACGAAAATGGCCGGAGGACAAGAACACAAGATGTGTACCTCCCCTCTATCAGCCACAACAACACAGAAATGTTTACCAGATGCAAAGCGCTTGTAAAGACAACATCTCCTAAACTACAGCTTCTTGAAAGCCTGATAAGTCTCTGCAGTAACCGGGTCGCCGATGCTGGACTTGAGCCAGCACTCGTTGCCCCATGTCGTGACAGCAAGAGCACACTTGGTGTTGACTTTACAGAGCTTCAAGCAGTCCACTGCCTTGACAGGGTACTGATATTCCAAGGTTTCGCCAAATGGAAAATTGGTGGCCATGGGTGCAGGAGCGAATCCATGGCCTGTTTCAAGGGATGGGTTGGGGGTGGGTTAGCCAGGGGTGTGTAAGAAAGGTAATGACATGGGAATTAACACCAGTGCAAACGGGTAGCTGTAGAGGCTTACCATGTGGGTTGATGCAGCTTGAGCTGTTCTTCCCCTCGTTAACCTGGCAGATGAATGAGCCACAGCCACCATTGTTGAAGGAACAAGAGCCAGACTGCGAAGCCAGAACATCCCATAACTGTAAGCTTGTATCTAGGTACTCTTCCTCAGAAGTTGTATACACTTCTGGGCTGATGGTCAGATTTGTGCTTGAATCTGTATAACCCTCAGGTATCCAGAGTGATTCCTGCTGCTTTTTCCTGTAGTAGGACGTGGCAAAGCTGCTGACACAGACGCCACTGGAACAGGTTCCTGAGTAGGAATTTCCTCCGTTTCCAAAACCAGTGCAGCTTGTTCCATCTGCCTCAACCCCAGCATTGCCACACTTGCCATTGACGCAGGTTGGTGCAATCGTACATGCTTTCGCACGGATCGCATAACACTTGACACACTTCACTGCACAAGGTTGCAATGTGCACAGGCGGTGGACACATGAATGAAGTAAAACTGGACCAGAGCGCAAACGACGAGAGAAGGACATGAAATAAAGAAGAACAGCACCTCTCTCACCTTTTCCGCATGGCATGTGGCCAAACTGCAGCATAAAATCAATGACTCCTGATGGGTCAAGCTTAGCAGCATTCTCCAGATTAATCGTGAAATCCAAAAACCCCAGCGTCCCCACCAGTCCTTTCCCTGTCTTGAACGCATGCTCTGATATCACATAGTGTGAGTTTTTGAATTCTTTCAGTGCTGCTTCCTTGTCCTCTGTTCCAGGATCCACAAAGGTAATTGTGCTCCGGTCATTCCCCTGAGCAGGCTTGGCATAGCTTGCGATGAACAGAGCAGTGAGAGTCCGGCTGGCAATGGTTTTCTGGGCAATATTATTAAAATCCGATCTCTTTTTCAGGTGGGACAGCATTGGTGGGAAGATTTTCTTCCACCACTGTGACACAGGAAAGTAAGGAGGGCAGACCAGGAAAAAAGGACAGATGAGTTGGAAAGCAGGATGGTTGTTTCAAGAGGTGCATGCACAGTGGCTGCTGAAAGAACACACATAGAAGTTTGAAAGAAACGGGTGGTATGGTGGGGATTTGTGCGATGACATACGAGTGAACTCAGTACAGGAAAAGAAAAACACTGCAGGCGGTTTACACGCTAATGCCTCACTTTGCTCAGCTGCTTTGATATCTTAAAGGCGGGGTCAATATACGGGTCGATCGCCGGCAGCTTGACCTTGTACGTCAGAAACGTTATTGAGCTAGCCTGTAACGAATGACAAAAAGGAGTTAGGGAAGGGAGGCCACACAGGAGTTGAGTGGTACGGTATTCTCAAATAGAGGGATAGAGAGAAACATTTAATTCAAAGCTCTCCCACTAACCTGGCAGCTTACGTGCATTGCTCACAGTGCAGAAACTTCTTCGAAGTTGCAACCCACCTGCTTCCAGACAGTCTTGAGATATATCTTGTAGAGGGAGAGCAGCCATAGCCGCAGTTGAACCATGACCCCTCAAACGGGTCATAGTGATGCTTTGAACCTTCCTGGAAGTTTCAACTCACCTGCTACCAGAGAGTCTTAAGGCACATCTTGTACGATGAGGAGCAGCCAGAGCCGCAGTTCACCCATTGCATCCAACGGCTCATATTGATCCTTTGATTTTATTCAGAAGTTTCAGTCAACCCACCTGCTTCCAGACCGTTTTGATGCACATCTTGTAGGAGGGGGAGCAGCCATAGCCACAGTTCACCCATTGCCCTCCAAACGCCGGGCAGCTGCGTATGCACACCTGCAGTGCAGGTGGGTAGCGAAGGGGAGAAAAGGGAAGAGGGGAGGGGGGTACGGAAGGGGGTTGGAGAGGGGAGAGGGACGGACAGGGGCAGTGGAGGATGGAGAGGTGAGGGAAATGCACGCAATCACATATGGAGGCCAGGGAGGGTAGGTGGAGGTGGGGAATGGGAAGGGGAAAGGGGGAGGGGAAGGGTGGGGAGGGACAGGAGCAGTGGATATCGACTGTTGCGGCAAGCACATCTGGAGCCCAGGGTGGGGAGGCGGAAGAGGGGAGGGGGAAGGGGAGTGGGAAGGGGCAGAGGGGGGAAAATGTGGGCAGGGAAGAAATGGGGCAAGAGCGCATGGAGAATGGGAGTTGGGGGCGTTCCAAGGAAATACATGTGGGGGCGAATGTGGGGAAACAGAAGAATGTGATGTGGGTGTGGAATGTAGGAGGGTGTGGAAGAACAGTGGAACATGGGCATGTGATGGGGGCGGGAAAGGGCGGTGGGCGGCGCCACTGGGTGGTGATGAGGGACAATGGGCGGCAATGGGCGGTGAAGGGACGCGATGGGAGAAATGATGGGGGAGGGAAGAGAGAGGGTGGGGGGAAGGGGTGAAGGAAGGGTGTGCGTGTGTGTGGGGAGGGAGGGAATGGGGGGGTTTGCGGAGTAACGCAGATTTATCGCTCTTTTTATTCTGCTCGATTTTGACTCCTATGAGCGTTCCTTCCTTTTCCCTTCCCCCCCCCCTCCCCCCCAACATCCCTTCAACCCCACTCCACTTCCCGCCTCTCCCCTATTCCCCTTTCATGTTTCCGCTCGGCGCGCAAGCGCGGCAAGCGCAAGTGCAGCGCGCGCAAGCGCGGCAAGCGCAAATGCAGCACGTCGGGCTTACCGGTCCGATCCCGCGGAACCTTTTCGCGCCTCTCCCCAATCCTCCCTCCTTCCCCTTCCCCCACTTTCCCCCCCCCCTCCTTCCCCCACCCCCACCCCCCCCCCCCCCCCCCCCCCTCCTCCCTCCTTCTCTTTTTTTCCTTTCCGCCCAGCAGCAAGCGTGCGGCACGCGCAAGTGCAGCACGTGTGGCTTACCGGTCCGATCCCGCGGAACCTTTTCGCGCATTTTTTGGTTGGCGGCATGCGCGCGTAGGTCTCGCGGTAGCAGAACATGTACACGTTGGTGTAGTTAATCTTCAGACTTAGGTCCTCGCGCCGCGCGGGCAAGTGCGCCCCGGGAAATCCGCCGTGATGGCTGGAAGAAGCGCCAGGGAGTAGCAGCTGGTTGCGCGCTTCGACGGGGAGGTAAGGAGATGGGGCGGCGCGAGAAGGAGCTGCAAGGAAGCTGGCGTAAGCAAGGAGGGCGATGATGTGGCACGGAAGCGTACATTGTCGTCGGCGAAGGGACGACGTGCGAAGATCATAACCGCGGTTCGGGAGGGTGACTGCCATGCTACGCAGACGAATATAAATACGGAAGAAAAGCCGCGTCGAGAAATGCCCTCGAGGCAAAAGGTTAAATATGAAAACCTCTCTTGAGCGACTAGTAGAACCTACTAAGCTGCTCTGAGCTGGTACGTCACGTCCGTTACATAGCTAAATAGAAGGCTGAAATGTGGCTAGGCTACTCGTCTTCGTTTAACTAGCAACAGGAACTTGAGGCTGAACAGGTTGCTACGGAAGCAGGTTGGGGTCTAGGCGCGGATATTAATAGACGCGGAGATTAGTTGTGCTGTACGGTACTGAAGTTGCAGTACAAGGTACGACACGTGGTGTGCGTCAAAGCGCGTAATGCGAGACTAAGTAACGGAACGATTCTTGGTGGATGAAATGTGAAGGCGGTCTGGAGACGGAAATTTCTAGAGGAAAGTAGCGAGGAGAGTTCGGAACTTTGGAGTGGACTCTAACTGGAAGAAATGTGGTGACGGTCTCAAGAATTCTCAACAGGGGGAAGAGGAGAGGGAAGGCTCTAGATGATGTGGCTGTCTGAGGAACGATCAGTTGAATGGCATTGGTTGGTTCCAGGCCAGGCCAGATAAATAGCGCGTCAAAACTGCAACTACAGTGTCATCCTCAGAATAGAGGGGCAGATTTGTTCAGCTAGAATGAGTGCGAAGGGTGGGCTTTGAGGGGCTGTGTGTTGGGTTGGGAGGGAGAGCTAGGGAGCGGCGGCGGCGGCGGGCCCGATAAAGACCGTCGCCCTCTACTAAGAACCTGGTCGAAGAAAAGGAGAGTAGGGGGTCTAGCGCCCGCGTCGTCATTTGCAGGGTCCAGTAAGGCGGTTTAGTGGGTTTTCCATGCTTTACGCAGCGGTTGGAGAAGATTCCGAGCGAATGTGAACTTTGTAATACACGCCTTGGGTGTTTTGTGGGTGGGTGGACTAGTTTACAGGGTGGTTGGATCCGGGAAGAAGGACAGTCACTGTTCTGGGCCGAGCCGCACATGAAATGGTAGGGGAGCGGGCAGATGCCTGCTAGTTTCATGGTTTACACGATACGGTATTGCAGATTGAACATTAGCCCTGAACTGTAATTCTGAGAGTAGGCGTTTTGTTCTTGCAGCATTTCTTGGCTTCTTGTTTCGAGGTTACTTTTCTTCGGAGGGTGGGGTAGTTCAAAAACTCGCCCCTGTGTGGTAGGCCTACGAATCCCCAACCAAGGAACGACGAGACGAGAAACATGTTGACAATCGCACAGCTCTCTCATTGGGTCGCGCTAGCGACAGGAGCAAGCTGCCAAATTGGACGACGACCTTCCCATTGATCCCTTCCGCGATTCGGTAGCTTCAGATTTCTTGTTGCTCCTTGCGACTGTTTTGTAACGTCGCACAGGCATCTCGAATGTTACAGTACACTTACAGACGGCGTTCCCCACGTCTCCGGGTGGTTGTGTCGAAAGAAACTGAACACCGACATTGATAATTGGCCATCTGTGTGAAATGCTTTTTCGTAAGTCCCCAGTGGGGATACTTCATACACACACCCTAGTGTTTAGCGAAACTGGTAGAAAACAGGACAGCCGAGTCACACACAATATCCACGTGTTGCTGACAGTGTTTGACCCGTATTTGAGTCGATCAGACCCCACTTCAAATGTGCTGGCAAATCCAAGAGGTTATGCTGCCAAATCTTCGACAAACATCCAATCACGCAGAGCCTGCACCACTTCGCAGCCGGGACCACCCACCCAGAGCTTGGCCATAGCAGGTGTGCTCTATTACCTCCTGATTCTAGTTTATGACTAGTTTATGTATCATCATTGTCTTTCCAGAACAGCAGAGATAGCAGCGAGCAGCAACTCTTCAAGTCACCCTCACGCCTTATCAGCTTCACATAAACGCAGACAAGTCTGTTGGTCTGTCTGTATAGTCTCTTGCTGCTGCTCTGCGCCTTTTCCGTGCATCCTGCTGTTGTTGCGTTCGCGCCTGATCGCCGGTCATCATGGACCGTCTAGCCGTGATTTCTGGGCATCTGTGTCCCCCAAAGCGCGACGAAGAAGAGCAGCAAGGTCGGCATCCATCCTGACACGTGTGTCCTCATGTGTCCTCACGCATCCTCATGTGTCGTGTTTTCGCGTGTCCTTAAGTGTCTTCGGAGTTCCTGATACGCACCATCGCATGAAGTGCCGAACGTCGTCTAGGCTACGGACCATAGCTAAACAACGGATTTTCTTGATCCCATTGAACCCTTCAGTTCTCCTGTCTCGCACTGCGTCTAGTGATTACCGTCACTGTTGTTCCGTCGCGTTGCGACCATCTCGAGCATGCAGTCAAATGCATTCTCGTCCCTAACTTGTTGCCTGACGTCTACACGGAGATTCATTTTCACGTGGTTTTTACCTCTTATCTTATGCATTCTCATTTCAGATGCACGGACTGTCGCGCCGTCACCAACGTTGTCGTTGATTAACACAGCCGATCCGCCGTCAACTTTCACCCAGGCCCAGCCGGCCACCGCCTTCCCGCCGTCAAAGTCCGACTACTTCGGCCTGAACGACCTGCTGACACCCGATCAGCAGGCTCTCCGGCTGCGAGTCCGAGAATTTATGGAGAGAGTCGTCGCTCCCGTCGCACCAGCTGTAAGGAATATTCAAGGTTTAGTGGCAAGCTTCAAGATGATGTGGCAGGCCTTCTTTTTTCCCAATGCGAGACAAAGCGTCAGGCAGGTTCTTCCAGCGACGCGCTCTGATTTGTCAACGACTTCCGGTCCGCATGTGTGTGCAGTATTGGGAGAAAGCGGAGTTTCCGCACGAGCTGGTGCCCCAGTTTGCCACGCTCAAACTGGCTGGAACCACCATCAAGGTCAGTGCATATCGGGTTCTCCGGACGGGAGCAATACAAACATCTGGTTTTTATTGTTCTGTGTTCAGAAAGCAACTTGTTCAGCAAGAGCTTGAACGGCGAGAATGAAGTCTTAAAAGATGTGGGATATTCTTGTTTGTTTTCGTGCTCTCGTCCTCCATGTGTCTACGCCTTCAGGGCTATGGGTGTCCAGGCTTGTCAATGACAGCAGCAGGGGTAGCTGCAGCGGAGCTGGCTCGAGTGGATGCGAGCTGTGCCACCTTCATTCTCGTGCACAGCTGCCTTGGCATGCTCACCATTGGTACGTGTGAAGACATGCACCATCGACACTTGCAAGTGCCTGTGCCTTATCATGACACGCTCTTAAAGGTCTTGAGCTTGAGTAGATGCGAACTGAGCCACATTCATTCTCGTGCACAGCTGCCTTGGCATGCTCACCGTCTGTGAGTGGCTGCTGTGTCTCTTCATACGTGAGTGTGCGTACGTTCTCAAGGCATGCGCCAACACTTGCAACAAGGGCCGCCTTACCATGCCATCTCTTTAGCAATCATGAGCTTGAGTGGATGCGAGCTGCCTTTCTCGTCCGCAGCTGCCTTGGCATGTTATTAGTGAGCGTGCTTACCATTGGTGAGTCGTCAACAAGTCTCTGCTAAGTGATTGGTACATTCTATGCACGAGTTTTATGTGCTCCCTTTGACTGCTTTCTATGTTAAACCTTCATCTTTTCTTCGCTTGTCTCTGTGTTCCTTCTGGTTTGCTCTTTTCTCTCTCTGTGCATGCAGCGCTGTGTGGCAGTGAGGAGCAGAAGCAGAGGGATCTTCCACAGCTGGCAGAGCTAAAAAAAGTCGCTTGCTGGGTGAGAGGCAGGTGGGGGAAACAAAAGGGGAGTGGGGAAAGGGGGGAGGATGTTCGGAGAGCCTGCGGAGGATGCTGAATCTATGTCTTGTGTGCAGTTTCCTGCTGATTAGGAGACCTGAGTAAGTTTGTTTTGAATGAGGGCGCTGATCTGTGCTCCTGCTGTCCTTTGTCTGCCCTCTCCCCTCTCTTTGACCTGCTGCGTATCACTTTCATTCCTGCTAATCAAGTGGACTATGGCAGTGACGCCAGTGCAGTGCACTCACCAATACGCCACACAGGGTGCAAAGCGGATAGGTGCTCTGCCTTCAATGTTTGGCAGAACCTGACCATGGCAGCGATGCTCTCAGCACCAGGGAACGCAGGGTGCAAGGCAGGTGGATCGTTGCTCAATCTCAGCCACCACATGTGATCTTTCTTCCCTTCCTGCTCTTCCCTCAGGGCTTGACAGAGCCCGACTATGGCAGTGACGCCAGTGCTCTCACCACCACGGCTCACAAGGTGCAGGGCGGATGGGTGCTCAACGGTTTCAAGCGGTGGATCGGCAACAGCACCTTCGCTGACGTCATCATCATCTTTGCCCGCAACACATCGACCAATCAGGTCAACGGGTGAGAGTCGATTCCATTTTTTTTTGTGTTTTCCCCGATTGTCCTGTGCTCATACCCTGTGCTGTGACTCTTCCATCTGTCCATCTGTCCATCTGTCCATTTGTCCATCTGTCCATCTGTCCATATGTCCATCTGGCTTTGCCTGCCTCAGTGGCTCTGTCTCTCTGTGCCTCTGTGGCTCTGTCTCTCTGTGCCTCTGTGGCTCTGTCTCTCTGTGCCTCTGTGGCTCTGTCTCTCTGTGCCTCTGTGGCTCTGTCTCTCTGTGCCTCTGGCACTGTGCTCCCCTGTAATAGCCCTCTTCCCTTCCTTTATGATACCTTGCGCTCTACAAGCAACTTGCCGACCATTTATACCTTCTCCACGCCCTTCTTTTCCCTCTTTCCCCTTTTCCAGTTTCATTGTGCGCAAGGGTGCAAAGGGGTACAGTGCGGTGAAGATGGAGAACAAGATCGGGCTGCGGATAGTGCAGAATGGGGACATCACCCTCAAGGACGTGTTTGTGCCGGACTGTGACCGCCTCCCAGGAGTCAGCTCCTTCCAGGACACTAACAAGGTGAGAGCAGTTTCAAAGTGGTGGAGTGCGGTACAGTGTGGGAAGTGTAGGTTGTGCTTAGTGCAGAACGGAGACATCACCCTTACAGACATGTTTGTGCCTGGCTGTGACCATCTACCAGGGGTATGTTCTTTTCACAACACATATGGGAAGAGCAAGGCAACAGTTTCAGTGCGGTACAGTGCGGTTGCCAGTGTGCATGTGCAATTTCTATAGTGCGTCCTATCGTTTATTCACCCCCTGCCCGGCTGCCTACCCTCTCTGCTTCTCAGGTGCTAGCAGTGTCACGGGTGATGGTATCCTGGTTACCAGTGGGCATGTGCATGGGCATATACGACATCTGCCTGCGCTACCTGCACCACTGACTCTTACTCAACTGTCTCTTCGCTGCCTCTTCCCCCTCCCTTCTGTGTGCCTGCTCCTCGTGCTATCCCTCAGGTGCTGGCAGTATCACGGGTGATGGTATCCTGGTTACCAGTGGGCATGAGCATGGGCATATACGACATGTGCCTGCGCTACCTGCACCACCGAGTCTCACTCAGCTCTCTTCTACCACCTCTCCCCTATCACCTCTCCCCTACCACCTCTCCCCTATCACCTCTCCCCTACCACCTCTCCCCTACCACCTCTCCCCTATCACCTCTCCCGTATCACCTCTCCCCTACCACCTCTCCCCTATCACCTCTTCCCATCTACCTCAGGTGCTGGCAGTGTCACGGGTGATGGTATCCTGGCTGCCTGTCGGCATGTGCATGGGCATATACAACATCTGCCTGCGCTACCTGCACCACTGACTCTCACTCAACTCTCTCCTCTCCCCCTCCCCCCTCTCCTTGTCCCTCTTCTCCCCCTATTGCTTCTCCTCAGGTCCTAGCAGTGTCACGGGTGATGGTATCCTGGCTCCCCGTCGGCATGTGCATGGGCATATACGACATGTGCCTGCGCTACCTGCAGCAGCGCTCGCAGTTCTCCGCGCCGCTCGCCTCCTTCCAGCTGTGCCAGGAGAAGCTCGTGCGCATCCTGGGCAACGTGCAGGCCATGTCGCTGCTCGCCTGGCGGCTATCCCAGCTGTACGACCAGGGGAGGATGACGGCCGGGCATGCCAGCATGGCCAAGGCCTGGATCACTCTCCGAGCACGCGAAACGGCCGCTTTGGGCAGGGAGCTGCTGGGTGGAAACGGCATTCTGGCAGAATTCCTAGTGGCCAAGGTGAGAGCCTGATACTTATGGTCTGGAACCCCGAACCCAGAACCCTGTAGTGAAAGAAACCGTACGGAGAGTTGGGGCTGGGGCTCTGCCAGGAGAAGCTGGTGTGCGTTCTGGGCAACGTGCAGGCCATATGGCTGCTGGCATGGTAGTTATCCCAACTGTACGACCAGGGGCAAATGACGGCTGGGCATGCGAGCATGGCCAACGCGTGGATTACTCCCCAGAAACCCTAGGCAGGGAGCTTCTGGGGGGGAACGGCATTCTGGCAGAATTTCTGGTGGCAAAGGTGATTACTATACTTCCTAGCCCTGAACCTGGAACCGTGCAGTGAAAGTAACACTAAGGAGATTAAAGGGTGGAGCGGTGCCAGGAGAAGCTGGTGTGCATCCTCGGCAACACGCAGGCCATCGCACACCAGCTCTTCTGCCAGGGTGACTAATTTTTTCTCCCTGTGCTCCACTCCTCCTTGCAGCACTTCTGCGATTTGGAGCCAATCTACACGTATGAGGGCACGTACGACGTGAATGCGCTTGTGACGGGGCGGGAGGTGACAGGGATTGCAAGCATCAAGGCGCCTCCTGCTCGCAAGGCCAAGGACAGTGGCAAGGGCATGCTGTGAGGGGAGTGCTTGCGGGCAAAGGGAGTGGAGTGGAGTGGAGAGGAGTGGAGTGGAGGCGAGCGGAGCTGAGGAGGCGATGTGAACGCGCTTGTGACGGGGCGGGAGGTGACAGGGATTGCAAGCATCAAGGCGCCTCCTGCTCACAAGGCAAAAGACAATGGCAAGGGCATGTTGTGAGGGTGACGGTTTGTGGAGAGGGGAGGGGGGGGGGGGGGGGGCGGGTGGACTGGAGGAGAGTGGAGGGGAGTGGAAGGGGTGAGAGGGATTGTGAGGGTGTGGGTTTGTGGAGATGGGGGGAAAGGGGGGGGGAGGTAGACTGGAGGAGAGTGGAGGGGAGTGGAAGAAGGGAGATGGGGATTGCAAGCATCAAGGCGCCTCCTGCTTGCAAGGCCAAGGACAATGGCAAGGGCATGCTGTGAGGGCGTAAATGTGTTAACGGAGGATGAGGGGAGTTTGTGAAGAGCATAGAAGAATCACGAAGAGTGGAGTTTGTGATAGGCATGCTGTGGGGTTATAATCATGAAGGGGTTTTGTGATCAGACTTGAGATATGTTTGTCATCAATTGTAGAGTTTGCAGTACTGGTGTGTAATGAGCTGTACAGTTCTCATTGAATGGAGTGTACTTCGCTGGTTCTGCCCCTATCAGCACTGTGGTCCCTATTTTTGTTGGGTAACTATGACATACCCAAAGCAAATCCTCTCTGAAGCGCGATTGCAATCCATTGTTGGATACAACATGTGTACGGGAATATGGTACGTGGAAATATAATCAACCCAGGTTTACATTTTTATTGCCAGGTTTTCAACGACTGCGTAACACGCTTGTTACTGCACCGCATGCCCTCTAATGTGCATCGAGTGTGCTCTTAGAAGGTGCTTGAACCAGAGAGCAGACGCCTTGGGGAATCTTGGAAGCGAAGGGTCTGTGAAGTTGACAAACACCGCACCAAACCGCTCTGAAAACCCCATGGCCCATTCCCAGTTGTCCAGGAGTGACCAGGCATAGTATCCCTCCACTGGCACGCCTTGCCTGCACAAGACATGGAGAGAGAAGAGATTCCATGAGACTGTTTCAGTAACAGTTTCAGTAACAGTTGTTTCAATAACAGTTTCAGTAACAGTTGTTTCAGTAACAGCTGTTTCAATAACAGTTGTTTCAATAACAGTTGTTTCAGTAACAGTTGTTTCAATAACAGTTGTTTCAGTAACAGATGTTTCAATAACAGTTGTTTCAGTAACAGTTGTTTCAATAACAGTTGTTTCAGTAACAGTTGTTTCAGTAACAGTTGTTTCAGTAACAGACATGAGAAGAGATGCTACGAAGGAAACAAAATGAGGAGGGGAGGAGGGAGGGGAGAGAGAGAGCAGGATGGCTATTGTGCTGCTTGGCACGAGTCACATTACGGGTGATAGGAGCAATAGAGAGGGCTAGAGAGAGCAGACGGGAAGCACTAGTCATCATACCGTCTGGCTTGAAGCACGCTGGAGAGGTAGGAGCAGTAGAGTGAGAGGAGGGGCCAGGGAAGGAGGGTGAGGGGATCGTACCACTTGGCTTGAAGCACGCTGGAGAGGTAGGAGCGGTAGAAACGAACACGCTGGTCGTCACAGAGGGTGCGAGCCAGTGAGCGCGAAGGGAGGTTGGACTCACTCATTCCTGGCGTATAGGGGACGGGGAGAACACGTGGAAACACGTGGCACCATGTGAAATGAACAAATATATAAAAAAAAGGGTTCTGTGTGTGTACAGGTGAAAGGCACATGTACGGGTAAAACAGCCGCTGTGACTTTCTATATGATGCTAAAAATGGAAGTGTTACCATTTTCAGTGATGATGATGGGGACGGACGGATATCTGTGGCTGATCCACGTCAGGATGTGCTGGATTGCTGCTGGCACCACGTGTAGCCATGATGATGCCGTGCGCTCCCCTATAAGCTTCCCCGTTACAGGAGACACAGCTGGAAGGAGAAGGTTTCAGCGGGAAACAAAGGAGGGTTGATGGTGTGTGGAGAATGGGCAATGAACAGTAGGAGGGAATGGGGTGGACAGGACAAAGTACAGAGAAAAATGGAGAAGGGAAACCGTAAACTTCTTAAATCGATGAAAGCAGGCCGCAGGTGGGCTAGACTTGGGCTTATGTGGCACTCACCTGTCATGTCCACTTGGCAGTCCATCCATGGTGCCACCCCATCTGCCACGTCAGCTACCTCCCCACCAGCCCGAACCGTTTTCTGGGCGGCGTACTGTGCTGTGTAGAAGTTGAGGCCGATGAAATCTGAGGAGCCAATCAGCAGCGAGGATTCCGCGGCAGAAAAGGACGGCAGACGCGAGCCGACAGCCTGGCGCATAGAGGGCGGGTAGTCGCCCCTGAAAAGAGGATCTGCGAACCTGGAAGGTGCGGGGAAGTAGGGAGGAAAAGTGGGGAGGGAAGGGGGGATCTCTTAGAGATTTGTAGCGGGGGACGAAGGGGCATGTGGTGGGGTTGCTTACTGCCTGGCGCATGGAGGACGGGTTGTCATTCTTGCAAAATGGGTCTGCAAACCTGAAAGGTGGGGAGTTGGAAGCAGAATGGGTAAGGTGTTAAGGGATGCAGAGCGATTGAGTGCGCTGGTATGCTGAGTCGATTCAAAATCTCCTTCGGAGGGTTTTTGAACCTGGAGGTCTGAGAAGCCAGGAGGGGAGAAACAGTAAATCCACCCACCTGCCCACCCACACACCCGCCCACCATGTAAAGGCGAACTCCATGCCTCGTTGTGCCGCGCCCACACTCCCCCGGGTGCCATCGGCCGGGAACAAACGAAACACAATCCATCGTCATGCCCATGCGCCCCCCTGCCCATGCGCCCCCCTGCCCATGCGCCCCCCTGCCCATGCGCCCCCCTGCCCATGCGGCCCCCTACTTCTTTCACTCACCCACCCACCTCCCACCCACCCACCCACCCACCAGGCGAAGGCGAACTCCATCCCTTGTTGCGCCGCGTCCACACTCTCTTGACTCCCATCAGCCGGGTACAGAAAAATACAGTCCATCGTCATGCCTATGCGCCCCCCTCCTCCCAATTGGCTGCTGTATCTCCTCCGATAGACGGCCACAGCAGCAGCATGGGCGAGCATGATGTGGTGAGAGACAATGTAAGGCTCAGTGGACGAGTCGCCTTGTTCGCAGGAAGAGCGGTTGGAGCAGCGGCCTGGCGCCATGGTGCCATAGCCATAGCCCTGAGAGAGGTGGGGTAGTGGGAAGGGATAGCCAACAGCAGCAGCAGCAGCATGGGCGAGCATGATGTGGTGAGCGACAATGTAAGGCTCGGTGGATGAATCCCCCTGCTCGCATGAAGTGCGATTGGAGCAGCGACCAGGTGCCATAGTGCCATAGCCGTAGCCCTGAGGAGGGAAGGGAGAAGGGAAAAGGCATGAGGGAAAACCCATTGGCTGTAGCACTGTCACTGGGTCACGGCCACAGCAGCAGCAGCAGCAGCAGCAGCAGCAGCAGCAGCAGCAGCAGCAGCAGCAGCAGCAGCAGCAGCAGCAGCAGCAGCAGCAGCACCAGCACCAGCAGCAGCAGCAGCAGCAGCAGCAGCAGCAGCAGCACCAGCACCAGCAGCAGCACCAGCAGCAGCAGCAGCAGCAGCATCTTCCCTTCCCCCCTCTCCCCATCTCCCACTTTCCCCTTCTCAGCTCGCCCATCCCCCCTATTCACACCCCCCTCACCTGCACAGCAGTCTGCTGTGGCTCGTTGAACGTGATCCACGTCTTCACGCTGTTGCCGAAACAACAGGATGACTAGATTTGCTTTATCAAGCCTTCCCGCCTGCTTCCCCCTTTCCCCCATCCCCTCACTCACCTGCACAGCAGTCTGCTGTGGCTCGTTGAATGTGATCCACGTCTTCACCCGGTCGCCAAAGCGAGCGAAACACACGTCCGCATACCGAACAAAGGCGTGCCTGTGGGTGGGGGGGGGGGGGGGGGTAGAGTGCCTGAGGTTGGGGGCCAGGTGTCTCGCCAAAGCGAGAGAAACACACGTCCGCATACCGGACGAAGGCGTGCCTGTGGGTGGGGAGGCAGGGAGAGTGCCTGAGGTTGCAGGGGTTGACGGAGTAGAAGAAATGACAGTTCAGGCGTCCCGGCGTTGCGAGCAAACACACGACGAAACACACGCCCGTGTACCGAACAAAGGCGTGCCTGTGGGTGGGGGGGGGGGTGGGGTTAACTGAGTAGCAGATAGAGCAGCTTAGGTGTCCTGGCAAGGCACAGTAGCACAAGCCCACGTGCCTGATGAAAGGGCGTGTCTGTATTCAGGAGCGGAGAGTGGGGTGGTGTTTGGATTATGCAATACCAACGACCTTTAGCTTGGGAGAAAAATGAGCTTGGGCATGCAATAAACTCGGTAACGGCAATACACTCTTTCGCTCTGCAGCCACTCACACTATGCTTCTGTTGAGCCAGCCCGCGTGTGCCTCGTGCAGGGGCAAGGGCAGGTCCCAGAGGTAGAGGGTAACTCGTCGTGAGACATTGAAAACTCGGCAACAGCAACGAGTGACAGTGGGTACACTCTTTCTCTCTGCAGCACCACTCACACGATGCTCGCGTTGAGCCAGCCCCCGTGTGCCTCGTGCAGGTGAGAGGGCAGGTCCCAGTGGTACAGCGTGACAGCTGGTGCGATGCCATTGGCCAGCAGCTCGCCTATGAGGCGGCTGTAGTGCTGCACGCCCGCCTCGCTCACTGCTCCCATGCCATCTGTCCACGGGGTAGAGAAGGGAGGGAAGGGGACGAGGGGAGGCGGATGCGAGAGCACTGAGCAACAGGGGGCCGGCAGCTCGCCTATAAGGCGGCTGTAGTGCTGCAGCCCTGCCTCGCTCACTGCCCCCGTGCCGTCTGCGGATGGAGTATGGGAGCAGGGACGGGAAGAAGGTGGGGAGAAGAACGGGAGGGGAAGCGGCGGGAGGGAGATGGGGAGAGTGCTGAGCAACACAGGGGCCAGCAGAAGATGTTTTGAGACGTC